GGGGGGGGGGGGGGGGGGCCGGGGGCGAGTTTCCTTTGGTTGCCATTTGCTCTAGGCAGATGCCGTCACCTATGGTCTGCAGATCTGCTTTGCAATGTCTTGGCTCTAGCAAGTGGTCCGCATGTTTGACATCTTGAGCAGCCATTCTGCTGTTCTGCCGGCTATATGGAGTGGGCTTTCAGCTCTGGCAGTGTCTACTGTCGCACCAACGCCGTCAAAGCCTCGAGCAAGTGGACGGAGCCGTCTTCAGCTCCAGCCACAAGTACATAGGCGCCTGGCACGGGAAGTGGGCATGTGTGCAAGCCAAGCATCTGGCTAGATGCAGACAGAGCTGCAATGAGTAGACAGAAGCGGCAAAACGACACCAATGCCCGCATTGGCTGACCGTTGAGGCTGCCATCCAACGCAAGGCAAGCAGAGGGGTGGAAGGCGGCAGCGGTGAGAGCTCTGCCGCCTCGGTGTGATCTTCACGGAGACAGGAAGGGCATCAACATGGTAGCCTTAGGTCTCCAGCGGCCTTCCGTAACAATCAGTGATTGTTCTTCGTCGAGAACCGGAACACCCACGCCTCTGGCCAGACACCTGCGTGATGTCCCAGGGCCATATAGTTACTATGCATTCCATGCAAGTCTGGCCACACCCTCGAGTCGGGGGTCCCATCTTGGGCCAAGCGATGAAGCCCAGCCCTGTGGCTGTGCAGCCCGGCCTCGCACGCAAAACATCTTTGTATCCGATCTTCGATCCTTTTTCTGTCGCAGCTTGCACCTCTGAGAACCGATGCTGAGAAAGGCGAGAGCTTTCGTCTTGAGGATTCCTACAAGTAGCACGAGGAAGCCGCGAGAAAGGCAGCCTTTCTCCATCTCCCAACAGGTCAGACAGAGAGTCCAACGAGCCGAGGATCTCTCTGCATCGAGCATCCGCCCCGCAAGTGACGCCGGTGCGGTCAAACGAGGTGCAGTTGTGATGCCTCACACTGTACAAGTGCAGCATGATTCTGGTTCCCTCTGGCCTCGATGGACGAAGAGCAAGGAGACTATCTACCAGCAGCTACTTTGGCACAAGTCAGCAGAAAGCCAATACTTGCAACACCGTCTTGAAGCAGGAGCAAGACAAGAGGCTGCAGATGTTGCCGGCATGCCCAGCTCGCAAAGCGACCCATTGGGCGGAACTGAGATGGATGACCTCGGACCAGACCGAAGTGCGACGATCCATGCCACGGCTGACGCATGACAAGCTGACAAACAGACCGAGGGCCAAACCCCATGTGTTGCATCTGAAAAACACACACAAGCATAGTCCTGTTCTGGCGAGAAGAAAGGTCGAACGCGACTTTGTATCGTCTCATACATGCAGTCCTCGCTCGCGCCAAGGGAGACCGAGACAACTCTTGGCGCGAGCTTCTCTATTCCGGACGTGTCGCAGAGCTGAGGTGGACATGGCAAGGTTTTCCAGTGCTCAGGACCTCGGCAACCACTGGACGCTCTTGCAGCTAACCTCTCCCACAAAACCCTCTTGAGTGGATGGATCCTTCAACAAAAAGGTTTGCGGAACCTGAAACCTATATGAAGCCCTTCCCGCCAGAATCCAGGATGATGAAGTGGGCGGGGCTCCAAGATGCCACTTGGAGAGTTGGGCCACTTGAAGGGATGAACAATGTATGAGAACTTCTCAACTCATCTGATTGCTTAGCGCAGCGCTGGCACTGCGAGACACGAGCAACGAGCCGTCTTCACAACCGATGCACCTTATTGAGGCACAGATATATCTACAGCCACTAGCATGCAGCAACAAGGCTTCTCAGGAAGGGGGCCTGTATCCTAAATCAGCTGAGGAGCACGGTGCTTGCCTTCGCATCCATGCAGGTGGTCTTGGCAGTAGGTGCTTGCACTACCTGCCCAGGAAAGCTGTTGGAAGTCCCACACTTCGGGCTCAAGTGGTAGACCTGCTCCCGCTGGCCCTCGAAATTCATGACCTTCCGTGGCAGCAGCCCGAAGCAGATCAAACTGCTTGCATCCACTGCCTGGAGCCGGCCCTCCGTCAGTAGGTATGCCAGGCGGCCTACTACATGCAACTGGGACCTTCCACGAGCGCAGGAATCCCGGCCTTCCAACTCGAAGGCTTGAAGCGGCTTCGTCAAGTCCACCCGCAACACCTGTCGGGGCTCACATGCAGCCTGCGGTATGCCAAAGCGGATGCAGCCAGACCTGGCGAGTGCTGCCTGCGGGCCCCGCATAAGTCCAGAATGCCACTGTGTCTACCTGCACCAGACCATCCCAAACTTTTCAGGCCACTGCAGCCCAAGACTTCCTCTGCAACCGCGAAGTGGCGAGCGTCGTCAAGAAGTCGGACTGCCAATGGCGAGCTCGAAGGCCCTAAGGAGCCCTGCGCCAAGGGCCGCGGACCTTGACTCGCCACATGTGGCATCAAATGCGGCATGCTGACCTGTCCCGCTGCCGCTGCGCTGAGTGTACCGGCTTAGGACATCAGCGTCCCAGTAGGCCACACATGCAGACAGAGCCTGCAGCCGAGCCCTCGCGTCGCGACAACGGCCAGGCTCTTGGGACTTGGGCTCTTGCGGAGTTTCCGTAGAGAACAAGCAAGTGCTGTGTTTCTCGGTGGTAATCCACCTCCGCTCCGACATCTTCTCATGTGCAGCACACCACTGGTGGACTGCTGCAAAGTTTGTCCCGTGAGCTTCGCACGCAGAGCCCCTGAGCCGAGATGTTCGCGAGGGCATGCTCCGCGACCTGACATCGTGATGGAGATATCAGATATGCAGTTCTTCATTCACGATGAAGATGAGACAAAATCATTTCACTATCGGAAGCATCTGGGCTGGTAAGCCCCTTGCCCGAACTCCATCCGCAGTCCGCCAGACAGATAGTGTGGGCTGTCCGCTGGGCGACACCCAGAAACCCAGCACAAACCGCCCATCCTGGCTGCAGCGCATCAAACGGGATCAAATTCGACATGCACGCGCCCGCCTACTTACCTGCTTGCCTACCTTCCTACCGATCAGAACAAAAGGAACTGGGCGATGGTTACGAGCCACCTTGCCATCACCCGACCCCAAGCCCTGCATGAAACAGAAGCCCCTCCACCCCTCCGCATAAGCAGTCTTGTCTGTTGCTCCGGAATCAACATCTCTGCGTCCCGGTGTCTAGTCGCGAGTTCCCTATACAGAGCTGTGAAAACAAGAAACAACAATGCCTTGCTGAAGAAGATCTGCGAACAGCGTTGGCCTGGCGGCCTCGGAGCGTCTGGGCATGTTTCTCGGTCCATTAAACTGATCTATCATCCTCTCATTTCCTGCTTACATGACAAGAAGCAATTTAAACAGCAACGAAGACAGAAGGCACGAAAGAAACGGCATGGCGCAAGAGAAAGAGAGACCCTAAACAAGGTCTGATGACCACTTGAAGAGAGAAAGAGTGAGAGAGAGAGAGAGAGAGAGAGAGAACGAGCGAGAGAGAGAGAGAAGGAGAGAGAGAGAAAGAGAAAGACAGAGAGAGCGAGAGAGAGAGAGAGAGCGAAACACAGAGTCAGATATGGGGAATGTCGAGAGAGAGAGAGAGAGAGCGAGAGCTAGAGAGATTGGGGACCAGACTCCGCCGACCGCAGAAATAACTCTCGGTGCCTCGTCCTGCTTGTTCATTATGAGTGTGTCTATAGACGCTATAGACGATGTAGTAACAATTCTTTTGAGGGGAGATTCGAAGAAAGCCACGCACCCATGCCGCACATCGCGGAGGACTGTCGTGCCGCAGCTTTAAGCTTTGGCTCTGGCCCGCAGGATTGAAGCACAAAAATACGATGAAAACGATCGAAAGTTCAGAAATACTGCCATTCAGGCACGCGAAGACCACATTGGTGTAATAACTCGAACTGCTGTACAAGCTTCCTAGTACCGCAACTGCGGCGACTTCTGTCCTTCCGTGCTTTTTCGATGTTGCTACTGCTGTACAGCTGTAAAGCACAATGCTTGCTGGAAAGCATCATGTCATCAAGGGTGGAGGAGGGGGGTTTCTTCAGTCTTACCGTACATCTATGCTTTGGTTGCCGGGCCAACAGATTCACGGCCGCAGCATTGACCAGAGGTGCAAAGTTCAACAATACAATCGTGAACCTCAGTATCGAGCGAGATCAACCACTTCCCCAATATTGTCACACACACACACAAGCAGATTAATCATTTCAGCTGCCGAGCCAGTCGTGTCCAGTCTTGGGCGATACCAGGACGCTCTCGGTGCCGGGGTTGAGAGCGCTCGAAACCCGGGCAATCGCGGTCACGGGAATGTTGTTTCATTCGAGCCCGAGCCTTCACTGGAGCATTCCAGGCATTCCTCTCATTATCAGTCTCATCCTCTTCATCATAGAGCTCGTCCCAGGTAAAGGAATCATGCGCAAACCTTCCACCAATCCTGTGCTGCATTGGGATCACGGTGCTGCCCATCAGTCGCCACTCAATAAGCCAGTGCCACTGCATTGAGGCATCGCCGGACCATTCCATTGTCTCGCCCCAAACATAGCAGGCAGCGGCAGTGGTCAATCGACAAAGCATCAGTCTGGCGACAACTCAGGCATTGACCACCCATGGTGGGCTTTCCTCATTTGGCCGTTCAAACAATTGTCGAGCTTCAGCTTGCCATTGATATTGTTCTGAATCCATCGCCTGCTTGCCTCACTCGCAGTGTGTCTGTACCCTTCGAAAGTGTGACACTCTCCTTGCCATTTTCCTCGAGCACATTCCGGCAGTGCCACTGCAGTACCTTCCGCATTGCACTTGTATCACGCCGAGAAGCTCCCATGCAACTAATGGCACGTGACACTGTTTTCGCACCGCCTATCTGTCAGAAGACTGCTCTAATGCTTTCAGTAATGATGCCTCGCACGAGCAGTGGTGGATTGTCTGGTTGCCGATTTGAGCACCCAAATAATTGAGCACTCGAACGGCCCATGAGCTTTTTTGAATGAGTATGTCTTCGCTGCGAATGTCTGCGATCCAGAACTCCCCAAAAGGGTGCATGAGTCACACCGGCTGGCATGCATTGACCAAGGCCACGCGATAGCGTATAGAACGGAAGCTCCTCCTGGCGTGCAAACGGAATCCATTTCCAGCCAAGGACGGCAGTCTGCCGTGGAACATACTCGCCGGCTCAGTCCCTTCATTGATGTCAAGGGCGGCGTCAATCTGAGCATTGCTATCTGTTGGACGGTGGCAGCCAACCCATTCCCATCAATCTCCTCCAACATGTGGGAACCAGCTGCACATTCTGCTGCATCACTGCAACAGTCTTCGGGGCAATTAATTAACTTGCTAAAGTCGGGAGAATGGTGGTCACAATCTAAGCTGCCGGCAATCGAGAATCACACTGAGGAGCAATCCGAGGAAACATTTCGGAGGGGAAACACAAAATAATCTCCGTTCGCAACAAGTTGTCTCAGACAAACCCTTGCATTGCAGTCCTGTACATGGCCGTCTTTCAGAACATTCTCTCGAATCACGGGACAGTGCGAAATCGAATTCAAGGGCAACCCCATTCGGGATCGATCCTGGGCTCATTTCACGAGACCGAAGAAAACCAATCTGTTGGAATCTACGCTGGCAAGGAAGGTCAGCGTGACTGCACATATGCACTCGACTGCTCGCACATCAATGGCATCCCTCTTTGGCATTGATAAGAAGACGAAAGTGCATGTGGGCCCGATCTGTATGTTGCCACTGATGTCTTGGATCGTTTAAGGACCCAACTTAAAAACTCGAGTGGTTTCTAATTAGTTCAAGCAACGGTTTGCTGCAAATGCTCATGATGCCGATGATCATGTTTGCCTGTGTGGTGAATGCTCATTGGCCGCCTCTGACGCCCTTGCGGCCCCTGCGCACCCCGCCACCACCCTGTCCCCCGCGCATTCCTCTTTCGGGATTGCACACGCGCGCGGCTGAGTTCTGAACGCCGCAAAACTATGTAAGCTGTAAGGAACAATGCCTCAGACATCCGATCTCGAGGCTCAACAGTAATTTAACAGCTGCGACATTCTGTGGAGATTCACTCTTGGTGGCCTCCCGCGGCGCATTCACCTGGGCACTTGACCCCGCCTTGGAGCTTGGCTGCTTCGCAGTCAACCAATCTTGCGCGTTCCAAAACTAGTCCAGGATCTAAAAACTCCAGTCACTCACTGGGCGAATCATCACGCGAACCTACACACGCATAGCCCCAACCATAGTCATCTCATGTAAACCAGTCCTGACTCCAATCGCTCTCTTACCACCTGTCATTTTCCGTTACGGCATCCTCTACTCTACTGGCTCGTGTCTCCGCACAAAAAACACCCTCTCCTTTTCCTTGCATTCCTCTTCCTTTGAGTTTACCATGGTGTATTCATTTTTTCTTTCCGTTTCCTCTTCCGTGAACATTCCTCTGCCTTTGCCCACGCCTTCTCCTTTGTACATTCACACCCTTTTCCATGATATCCTTTCCTCCTTTCCTTCCTTTCTTTCCTTTCATTGCTCCAATATCCATATCTGCGGAAGAATCTGTTTGCTGGGCCGTCACCCCTCATGCTCGGCACAGTCAAATGTGTGCTCTTGATGCAATGCCTCTGTAAACGTGAATAAGCCATGTGTTTGCAAATGATTGCCCAACGGCCTGTCGATCGCCTCCTCATGTCGGTTCTTCAAGTCAACTCTTCAAGATTGTAATATCACTCAGATCACTCTCCAATAGGTCATTTCTCGAAATGATCTCACTCAAAAGATTCGTGGCTCTCGCTCTTTCTGATAACGACAACTGTCTGCGCGTGCTCCTCCAAATCTCGAATCCATTGCCAATGTGCACATGCCGAAAAATCGCCCTAGCGGCAACCTCACTGATGTGTGCCAACATGTATGTCAAGTGTCGCGAGAATAGGGACAACAAATAGCTTTGGGGCCCATTTGGTTGAACATCAAAATCCCCACTCAAGCCATCAGTGATCGCTTGAGCCGTCTACATCGTCCATCATTAGTCTTTTGCAATGGGTTAGTGCAATCCAACATATCGCTTCAGTTGACATGACCAATCTTCCCATTTCGCCAGCTCACCGTGGTACAATGGCCGCTAGCGGTGGGGACAATCTGAATCCGATCTCACCACCGATCCTTCTGACTCCAACGTCCATTCTCTTTCACTCGCTCCCTGGTTCTGGAGCCGAGGCTCCGCTACCATGCGAAAAAATCAACATCGTGACATGCAGTACCGACCGAGATCAACCACAATACAATCCTCAATACAATCTTTTGTGCTGTCGAGCCAGCGGTGTTCAGTCTTGAGCCAATGCCTTTCGGCATCGCAAGCATTCACTAATCACTAATGCACGTTGGCGATTGGGGGCACATTTGGGTGTGTGTCATTTAACCAGAGCACCACAGGACCGCAGGGACCATAGGACAGCAGGACTATGGAAAGAGCAGGCTGTGGGCTCGCGGAGAGAAAGACACCTCATACTAACATGCCGGACCCAAACCCTACCACCCCGGCCCCAGTCAGTTACGCTCGTGTCCAAGCTAGTGGTTGCAGTATTGGCGGTCCAACCAAGCAAACGAAGTCGGCAGCAAGCCCTCAGAACCTGCTCGACCTTCCTTTGTTCACATTCACGCCGGCTGGCAAGCTGCTCTTTGCACTGCCGGTGCAACTCAAAAGTCATTGGAACATCCAGGCAATGGCTGAATTGTATCTACCTGATGGCAGCCCCACTTGACACTCTCCAAGCGTGCACGGTCTTCAGGACTCAGAGGGGTTCGGAGACAATGCAGATCTTCTTCCACAAAAGACCTCACTGCTGTGTTCTTCCAAGCGAAAGCGACTCTTTGCGAATTTAGAAGGCTGGGCTACATGAGGCCGGATCTTGTTGCAACTCGGGCGCGGCTTCCGAAGGCTAGTAACCACTGCAATGTCC